ATTATTCGATTCTTCGCAATCCTATGCTTGGATATACGTATGTTTCATACGCAATAATTTATAAAAATTGCATGACAATGTGAAAAATTCCGGAAATTCACAATATCTTTAACACACGAGGCATTGAAAAAAAGGATCGATAACTGTGTTCTTCTTTCGACATTACTGCGCGCAATACCGATGTTTCGCCGTGCGTAACGTTTTACAAAAGGTCGCAAAATAAATTCGTAAAACAATCGATTTTAATATATTGAAAAATATACGAAACAAAAGGGAGACACTCCGAATATACGATTTTATTCACAATAATTTTTATAAATTTTTTATTTTTATTTTAGCGTAATCGTCAAAATGGACCAAAATCAGCGCGATGAATATCCTTCTGCGCCGTCGCTGGCACGAAGGTGCGGGTGCGCGAATTTTTATAAATTATTACGTACGACATCGTAAATTCAGAATGTCTCCCTTTTGTTTCGCACATTTTTCAATATATTAAAATCGATTGTTTTTTGCTAATTTATTTTGCAACCTTTTGTAAAACGTTACGCACGACGAAACATCGGTATTGCGAGCATTAATATCAAAAGAAGAACATAGTTATCGATCCGTTTTTTCAATGCGTTATGTATTAAAGATATTCTGCATTTCTGGAATTTTTCGCATTGTTATGCAATGTTTTTATTTCATAAAGAATTTCATCTGCTGTGAATAGAAAATAGCGCACGTTATAAAGATCAAACGAAAATACATATCGAGCTAAAAATAACATTGTCATTAAAAATTGATCTACATTTCCTTTTTCAATGTTCTCTCGGGTCGCGCAAGACGTTAAAAATTTCGACAAGGTGCGAAAACCCAAAGTCAACAAGCGGAGCATCGTTCGGTCGCTTAATTCCGCGTACGTCGAGCTACCGGTCAGTTTACGATTGCACGGATAAAGCCTTAATTAGCGTAATCGTGTCGTCGAAATAGACCGAAACCGCCGGCCATGAATATCCTTCTGCGCCGTCGCTGGCATGAAGGCGCGGGTGCGCGAACAGCCACCGATAAATTCGCTCGAGTGTTTACCCCGAATGGCTGGGAGAACGCACTAATTTGCCGAGCTATTGCCGCCGGAGGCTCGTGTAATTCCGTTGACCTAACAGACCGCTGACGCGAGGTCACCAAGATCTCGCCCCTCGCGCGGGGCGGTTTGCCAGTTCCGCAGAACAAATGCTCCGACGTATAAATTATGAATTACGCAACGTTGTATACCGCCGCGAACCTTTTCTCCCTCGAGGCCCGCTCCGGAGTAGGCGAGACGATCAAAAGACACTTTTGAAAACGGTTCAGTCATCTAGTCCACCCTCTTGAATGTTTAATCCTAAAATATTGCACCTCACGATCTCCCCGACACGTGTACGTCCCGCCTTTCGGGTGGCATAAGTATTTTAAATGACATTGAACAAGAAAATTATGATAGATGCTAGAAAGCTTATCAGAGCTTCCGAAGGTTACATGTCTTTGTCATTTTTTCACGGATGTCATCTTTTAAGAAGGAATATCATTTCTGTATTGCGAAATGCACTCATGGTTAGCTGCAAGTAGCTAGAATTGCTGCGGTCGAATACGCTGCTTACGTGTTTGCATAAAATTGTCGGCGAAAATATTCAATGCGAAAATATATTTCTATGCAATAGTAAAAACAATTTGGATGACAGAAAAAAAAAACAAATTTTTCTCCCTGCGTAAAAACGGATTTCTAATCGAATAACGTTATTTGTGCAATTGATTTATACAAATATATAATAAAAATTTGTACTTTGAATTCGTTTTATATATTAAACAATTTAAACGGAACAAGCAAGATATTCTATTTGCCGTTAGCTGCGAACAAAAGGACACGAATCACCGAACCGAATTTCGAATTTCCACGACTACAAATTTCAGACGGATAATCACCGGCGGTTTAATTCAAGGCTGCTGTCATTAATCTAAGTAATGCCCGGTTCCATGTGCAACCACCGGCATTATTACGGCTTATTGTTGCGAAGTACGCGAACAGGCGCGCAATCGAGCGAGTCCGGCAAGCGCCGTAAGTTAGTTCGGACCACCTGTATCTAATAATGCCACATAATAAAATAAGGTACACACCGCAAACTTGCCAAGTTCGGCGTAGCGTCGTGCCCTATCACGCATCGTGCTGTAGCATCTCTGGCCACGCCAGCCCGTGCACGTTGGTTCGGCGTCGGGCGGAAATGCTTCTGGAAATGTTGCACACGCGAGGCGGATAATTTTCCCTTCTCCGCCCGACGACGATACCGACTGCAATTTCGCAAATGTACATCAAGCTTCGCACTTCGTAAACTTCGCGCGTCGGGAAATACGAGGATACGTGCCTCTCGCAAACAGCAGACGAAAGTTGGTCGCGGTAATTAATTTTTAGTCAGCATTTCCGGGATTTCGATCCTTGTTAAGCGCTGACAAAGTATTTTGGCCGCGGTCCAACGTCCGGTGCGCTTCGTTCCTACATTTGTGTAATTATCGGCTGCAACGTGTTCTTAATTGCTGCCAATTAATGTTACGCTAGAAATAAAGATTCGCGTACGGAGTAAAAAATATTTTATGCTGTTCTTTTTTACGTTTGTCCAGATCTCCCGGCAATATTTCATTTTAGCAAATCAGTTTGCGTAAAACTTTTTAAAGTGAATTTATTCATTACTAAAATAGTACGAAATAGAAAATTTGACTCGTTATATTCAATGAGCAGGTGGTTGTTAAAATTGCGTCTCTCTCGCGCTAGAATACCGAGGGGACCTTTTCGTATAGTTGCAGTTTGTTAACAAAGTGCTTTTACGCGCGCGCGCGTTTGCATATTACTTTTTATTGCTCCAACATCCAGATTGTATTTGTACGCACTTGTTTCTCCGCAGCGCACTCCGCGTGTCAAATATATTAATGCGATTTCGACAATCTAATAAATGTGACGAGTATCGCCGAGTGTTCTCGAGAAATTTTTATTACGCAAATATCTCTACCGAGGAATACAAAGTTTAAAATGTTAAGAGGGGCTTTAAAGGAAATGTTAACGAAGAAGCGCGATTTAATTGAAGAGACAGAACGCTGACTTTCTTGTTCTCCGTTTAGCGCATTATTTAAACCGGGGATTAAGCAAGCCATACGATATAAGCATGGAGATTATGTGCGATTTATGAGCGCGCGGTTTATGGCGATTAAATGAACACGCTCGTTGAATAACTGTGCTCGTTATAATCCGACGTAGACTGTATTTTTCCGTAAAAATGCTTATTCTTGCGGAAAAAGATAATTAATATACGGGGAAAAAATTCTTCTGTTGGCGATAAAGTATTCTTTTGCTCGTATTGCAGTCGGATTTTGCAATTTGTGCGTTATCGAGAAGTTTTAACTGAAGAAACGCGGGTGTAAATCTTATTATCGTAAAATCCTACAGTCGAATACTACTCTGCGATATATTTCCATCTACATATTTACGAATCCCTTTGCATGCACTGCGACACGAAAGCATTAATACATAGAAACTGTAGAAAACCGATAAAAGGATAAACTCGGAACGGCGAAGAAGAAGAACAGAAATAATACGACGGAAATGAACCGCGATGGATTAATCATCGGTATGAAAAGAAAGTTTTCGCGACGTGGATTCTCAATCTATTCTCGATTACGACTCGAGACAAGTCGTCTATGAAAGGCGGGCGCGGCAGCGGTTTGTGAGCGTCGACAGACGCTTTGAAGCGCGCGCGAAGAGGCACGATAGATACGAACGCTGAACGACAGATATGGCACGCCGATGCGAAGGGTGAAAGACGGAGGGCGCAAGAGAGCGAGTGCACACACAACAGGCAGAGCCGTTGATAGCGGCAGGCACTGTTTGCGCACCGGTAAAGCGGCACAGAGAGGAGAGAGAGAGAGAGAGAGGGTCGCGAGCAGGCAATAGCGAATCGGCGCCCGCTCGACACGCTCGGCGGTTTTAATTAATGCCGCTCGCTCTCTCCTTCGCTCTCAGCCTGGGAAACACGAATGTCTCTAGAATGAAGTACCTGTCTTCAAAAATGTATCAATTCTACCCGTTGTGTTGATGAGAGATGTCTTAAACACAATTTCTTAAATGGTTCACTTATTTAAAGTGAAAATTTTCAAGGTTGTATATCGAGAAATGTTAAAGCAGATTATGCAGAAGATTCTTTGTAGTGTCGTGTTGAAAAAGCCTTCAAACTTTGCACTGCTCGGTGAAAGAAAAGATCCATTTAAAGTACAACGCGTTGTATTAATTATATCAATGTCAGGGCTTTCTTATTGATAAATTGCACGTTCAAAACCGTTCTTCGACAATATGCTCCTTTGCAACAATATTAAACAATTAAACTTGTTGACGAAAGAAAGTAAAAAATATATTTATATACATTAGAATTACAATAAGCGTTATATCTTCTAAAAATGTACATTTTCAGATTCTAAATTCAATTTTTTATAATTTGTTTTCATAAAATTTATTTTTTATGTATTTTGTATGTAATTGATATTCTTCAAAATTTCATAATAAAAAATTGCGTACGTAACTCGAGCACGATTTTAAATTTCTCAATGCTACAGTAAAATAAAAATATATTTATATACATTAGAATTACAATAAGCGTTATATCTTCTAAAAATGTACATTTTCAGATTCCAAATTCAATTTTTTATAATTTGTTTTCATAAAATTTATTTTTTATGTATTTTGTATGTAATTGATATTTTCAAAATTTCATAATAAAAAATTGCGTGCGTAACTCGAGCACGATTTTAAATTTCTCAATGCTACAGTAAAATAAAAATAACTTTGTATTTTTTATTTGTAAAAATGCAAAGTGCAAACGAGAACGAGATCGTGAAAGCGCGGTTTTCAGCAATAGTATAGAAAATATTGACGAGAGAAAAGACAGCAAGTAATATTAGCGCATTTTGAGTAATTGTATAAGTATAATGAATGAATTCACTCACCAATCGTTGTACCGCTAATCGAGCACTCGTCCAGCTGGACCTGGAAAAATTAACATATATTTTAATCATTACAAATTATCACATACATATTTTATGCACGCTCTTATTCATTTATTTCCTTTTTAATAGACAACTATTATTCTCGGATGTTATTCTCTTTTCGTTTAGTTAACCGAATCGCTCGATGCAGGCTTTATTCGTGAAACACTCCGCACTTTTTCCCATTCGATAGAGCCAATCAAAGATGTGCAATTGCTTTGTATAATAATTTCCGTTATGCGTTATGTAGCACGGCTCTGTGTGAAGTTTTCTCCGCAATGTTGACCTAATCGATAGACTTTAAAGAAGAAGTTTGTTTAATAGTATCTTTGTTAATGGTACCTTTTGCGCGTCGTGCGTCGGATTTCATTAAAAAGGTTGAATACGCTTTTATAGTACTCTGTGGACAGAGCAAAAGCTTCTTGAAAAGCGATATCACTGAATGCATTCTAGTGACTTTTCTCTGAGAGTCTTCTTAGGAAATAAAGAACATTTTTGCTGTGAGCTTCTTATCCCCGTTTGCTTCTTATCTTAAAGGGATTGAATTATTTTTCATAAAAACCATCATGGTAAATCGTTTTTCATCCTTTTGGATCTGCTGGCTTCACCGACAAGCTAATCTCTACTTATCGTTTTCTTTCAAATATTCAAAAATATATATATAGAATTGTCATAAATTATTATATCAAATCACTCTTTAGAGTATTAAAAGCGCATTAATCAATAAACAAAAATACGTCTGCGAAAATAGCAGATGTAATTAGCTATGTCAAAATAAGATCTTTTAATTCCATCGCATATTATAATTTAAAAACCAGATAAAAGATAAAATATGGAAAAGTAAGGAAATAAGATTAACTTTCGACTTTGATGCTTCTCGCTCGATAGAGCTTGAGACTGTCATCGCGGAAGTACAAAAGCGCACGTCATCAGTCAAAGCGACCGCCCTCTTTTATCGAGATCAAACGATGGCGGATTTTTCCCCATGATGTGGAAAATTGAAGCTCCGATATTTTTCATGGTATTAACTCTTGACGCGGAAGGACGACCCCCGAGTTGTCTCTACTATATTGCGAAATGTCAATCCATAATTTAGGACTTTTCATTCGACTTTCACGGCCATTCTTAAAGTCGTCTGCTTAAAGTGACACCGGGATTTTGAACACGTCGGTGAGCACGAATGGAACTCATCAATTCTTGAACATCTCGTCGTTTTTCGCACGTAAAGGATAAAGTATAATCAAAAGACAATGATGCAAGAATAGACTTTGAAATCGATTAAACAATGTTTTTTTTATAATTTCCAAAATTCAAAAGTTTTAAACTTTGTGCACAAATGTCTTAATTTTAAACAATGCATAATCTTGTAATAAAAATGCAAATTATCATGAAAACTTATTATTATTAATTATTGTGTTATTTATAACAATATTGAAAAAGATTCTTTGTAATAAAAAAGAAACTGCGATTCAATTAAACTTTGATCGAAAATTTTGGAAATATTTATTGCATCTTTCATAATGCATTCTGTATGTGACACAAATGTTTTCAACATTGAGAATAATATTCTCCAATAACTTGAAATGCGTTAGCGCAAAAATAGTAATCGCGTGTCTGGATGCGGTCAATTTTTAACGGAACTCGATGGAATTTAATTACGCGAAATATCAGAGAAAGTCTTCGTAGCACGTGCCCGTTGAAAGCTCGCGAATAATTGCACCTGTCTTCGACATTATTTTTATCATTTCTCGTTATCGTTCGCATGAAGAAGAATCTTAAACGCTTTCACATAAATGCACGGCACAAAATATTTATTGATCGACCTGATGTCGCTTATTTATGAGAACATTTGAAGGGTAATTTTTTTAATATTTATGACGCTAAACTATTGAACATTCGTTGCAAAAATCGTAAAGCTAATAATATTAAGTAAGATAGGAGACAGGCATTTCACGTCGCAATAAATGACGCTCAAGCGCACAAGCAAATTATTACAACAAATGGTCATTATTATAATAAACAAATATTAATAGCCGTGGCACGAATACCGCCGTTTAATGTTCCTATCTTTCTGGTATCGTCATGCTATCGAGCAAATGCAAACAATTTACCAGCCAGATGCTTGTATGGACGCTTGTTAGATTTCCTATCTGTTGTGCGTTGTTTCTGATAGGAAATCTGTAGGTGGTATTTAATTTCGCGAGGTTCGGTAATTTAGTGTACGAGCTGATCAATATGCCGCGCTGTTCTAAGATGTTTAATAAACGGCACGTGGGCGCTTCGATCGACCGGTTGCAAGACATTAAGCTCTGAATTGCAGTACATCTGTATCTCAATTATTGCGATTAAGGCGAGTAATCTTGACATTGTGATAATTAAAGTGGGAAAAAGCGATGTTAATTATTAAGGCTATTTATACTCCTTTCCATTTTCGGAATATGGCTCTACGAGTGCAGATAAATGCGTCATTACAAAATTAAAGCATTATATTAATACTTTAATTAATTTAATACATTACATATAAAAAATATTAAAAATATTATCTCGACGTGTATCGAAATGACAAATCACGTACGGAAAAAATTCTTAAAATTCTCCCCAAAATATTTTTCCGCTTTAATACATATTCGACGAAATTCGCATATCTCGGGATCTCGCATTAGAGCAATTTAAACGTAATTTCTCGTGGAACTACATAGCAAGTTTCTCATCACATCAGTCTAGGAACGTATTCTAGCCTGAAACTTGTACATAGTTTAGCAATCAGAGACACATTTGGCAAGTACGAGAAACCACAGAGGACCTCGATCTAGCCAATGGGCTCCTACGGGAAATTGGTTCGCGGCCAATGTCTTTAGCAATTCTACTGAAATCGGTCTGATTAATGTCACGGCGGCGCTACTGCTGAAACCGACAGGATAATTTGATTTGACGTATTGCTCTCACCGTATTACGATCCACCACTGGTACTTACGCACTGTCGGATCCTACTAATTTCATTATCCTGACACGACGCGTCTAGTTTCTCATCTCGTCGAAGAACCTTATCTTATCGCGCAATACCGGGAGGCAAGCATCGTAAGAACTTTCGACGCCTTTACACGATGTCTTTGAAGGGACTCCTCGGGGAAGCACGTTCATTAATGCAAATTGATGGCAGCGATTATCGGGGGTAAAGGACACAGTGATATATTATAGAAGGATTAATTAAGTGGACGAGATAAGACCTACTCCGCAAAAATGCTGGAAATGTAAGTTTAAATTTCTCATTGAAACCGGAATTAGAACGTCCGAAATTTTATTTTCAAAATTCATTTCAAATATTATTAGAAGAGAGTTTTATTGCGGAAATAATTTATAAATTCCAGTTATGTAAAATCAATAATTATCATCGACGATCGGGTGATAATATCGTGATAATACTATTTCTTGTCAGAACCAGATGACCCGCTATTCTGACGTGGTAAAATAAAACAGCCTGCTCTAGCGCAGAAATTAAGCTGTCATCGGACAAAAGGGGCCATCACGACGCCGCTTTTTAAATATCTACACGACGAAAGAGCTGGATGAAAAACATATGGTTGGCTGAGTGCGAAATGCTTCAAGCACACCGGCGTTATCGATTCCAGTTATTCTCTCTCATGATTCATTCAAAATTTTAAACAAAAAAGACAAAAACTACAAAACTCTCTAAACGTAAAATTACAGATTTTAATTATATATTTTTTAATGTGTGACTAAATTAGAATGAATTTTTTTCTTAATTTAAAATGTCGAGATTCCAATATTTCTTAACTTATAAATGCTTGAAAATGAAAAACTGGAATAAATAAGTTATTTTCTTGTAGCAATAAAAAAGTTACTACAAAATTCATGAAACAATCTGTCATCATCTAACAAGTGCATAATTCAACTCTCCGAGTTGACTTATCAAAATAAACTTCCCAAAGGTATTATTATACAAGTTGATTTAGACAAGAGTTTCATTGTCTTGTAAGACGAGATGCCTCCTTCCTTCTCTCTTACTCTATTCTTCTCCATCTTCTCTTTCTCTCTCTCTCTCTCATTTTATTTATCCCATATATTGCCGCTAGTGCTTTTCGAGATAAGAAACGAAGCATGTTCCTAAAGATAAAAATTCGTGCGTAATAGCGCACGGATGGTGGATAATAACAATCGCCGTTATCTGCGCGAATAGCGGATTGCCGTATATCCGGATCAAAAAAGTTCTCATTTTCTCGCACGATAAACCATCTGGCCTTCGCTTCTTAATCGCTCGGCAAAGCAGCAGATGTATTGCGCTCCAACTTCTCGGCGATTTATATTCCGCAATAATTATCCCCGCGTTCTGTTAATAAAGCACCTTCGGTATAGGGTGTTTCATAAAACTCACTCATCTTATATCAATTACGTTCTCATACATTTCTGCGACTGAAACTGTGTCGAAATTTTATTATCAAGACGTTCACTTCGGAACTCTTGGATGATAGATCGACGTCCTATCGATTTACTCGCTGAGGTAAAATTTCACAAAATACGTGCTATTTTGATTATTATTTTACGAAACACTCTGTATAAATTACTTTTCTTCTACAATGATATATTGTGACGCTTAAGCAGCTCCAGATAGTAATTGCGTGTGCAGCAAGAAAAAAAATTAGGTGCTTCAGCGTCGTGAAACTAATAATGTGAATTTATTGCGCATACCAAATCAGTATTTTCTCGGTAGATTTCTTGCAAAAATATTTATTATCAATCTAACTTTTAACCGAAATTGATTTAGAATTGCAAATCGCCGTAAATTATAATAGTTTTTGATTACATCCAAAAATACAAAATAAAAATAATGCTGTTATTTTTTTCATTTATTATAACTGGAAAATAAATAACGCAATCATAAAATTTATATGGACAAAATGCTATATATATTCACCGCTAAAATAAAATTGTTTAAATCTTATTTATTTAACACCAAGATTGCATTTATAAATCTTTGAAATC